GGCCGCGGCGGCAGGGGCAGGCCCGGTCTGGGCCGGGGGGGGGGGGGAGGCAGGGCCTGAGGGGGCTGGAGGTGGGTTGTGGGGCAGGGGGAGGTTTGGTGGAGGAGGAGGAGCTCTGTGGAGAGGCAAAGTGGGGGGGGCTGGGGAGAGAATTGGGGTACGGGGAGGCATTTGAGGGGGAGGACAGGGCACGGGGTGGAGGGGGGGGAGGATGGGTTTAAGTTGGGGTGGGGTCGAGGTGGTGGTGAAGGTTTTGGATGCTGGAGGGAGAGGTTGGGAGAAGCGAGGAGCTGGGTGAGGCTGGGGGCTGTCAGGGAAAGTGGGGGGGGTAAATGGGACAGGCTGGGGTGAGGAGGGGTCTGTTGGTGGGAAAAGCTGGCTGAGCAGAGGTATTGGGGGTCAAGAGGCAAGAGTAGGGTGAAGGGGCTCTTGTAGGTGCTAACGGGCAGGGGGAGGCTGACAAAGGGGATGAGGTAAAGAGCTGCGACAGGCTCTGGTGTGATGCAGTGCCAGGTGATGCTATGATGACAAACTTGGGTCACCTCCTAGCGGAGGAGAGGCGGGGCACAGACCCAAACTGTGTAGCCCTAGCCCTGCTGGGGCACCGGGTGGGTGTACCTGTGGCCCGAGGAGGGTCGGCCGCTTGGGCTCGGGGTCTTATCTGGCACCTCTGGGGTTGGGGTGTGGTGGGTCAGTGCTCGGGCAGTCCTGTGTGAAGCAGCCATCCTCTCTATTATTGTTGCTCAGCATCGGCGTTGAGGTAAGAGGGTTTTGTCCCTGGGTGCTGAACGCAGCCGGGGCTGAAAGTAGATGTGAACTTTGTTGTGTCTTTGTTATCGCAGCAGCTACGGTCCTGTTGTGTTTTGGTTTTGGTGTTTAAGAAGGCCATGATAGAGAAAACCAGTGAAATTTGTCTCGGTTCTGTTGTTTCCTTGACTCTCTATGTGGTCCCGCAGCTGTTTGGATAAAGATATTACTGTAGCTTGACTCACTGACTGTATATCGAAGTCCTTGATGTTTTCTCTGGGTAACTCTTTGCTTACTCATGTTTAAGGGTATTAAAACACGTCACTGTTCCTTGTGTTGCCCTGGAGAGCGGGAGGAACTCACTGTTACTCTGTGAATAGTAAGCTGCAGTTCAGATGGCCTCGGCCAGGTTGCTTTGTGTCTTTGTGCCTGAGGTTTGGTTCAGCCACTGCTGCCTCCTCGCTCCCCAGCTTGTGACTGGGTATTTGGTGTGGGCCGGACGAGAGGTGGCCGAGCATGAGCCTGAGCGCTGTCAGGGAAATGGTCATAGGTGGGTTTTTTTCAGAAGAAACCTTTCCCCTGGTGTTAAAACTAAGACATTCTGGGAGTACTTCTCAGAGAGGTCTTAATTTGGGGCCAAAATAAACTCTCAAGTTCTTATTTAACTAGTCCTCCTTCCTGGGGTCAGTTTCCTGAAGGCTGGTGGAAGAGAAGGTGTTTTTCTGCCTGCTCTATGCTATATTTAATAGCTGACGGAGTGGAGGGTAGGGATTTAATTACAGCGATGTTGTGTTGTGGCTGCTGCCGTTAGGCGCTGCGAGGCACTGTTGCCCATGTGGTTTGTGGAAGCCCTGACATCCACTGTAGGTGTAGAATGTTGAAGCTGGGCTGTGGGGCTCAGGGGCTTGGCTCATCACCATGTCACTTTGAGGAGGGCACCGTGCTGGTGGAGCAGAGCCGTAATTGGAAAGCGCCTGGTGTCCCTGCCCTGGGAGAGCTGCTTTGTGTCCTGATGAAAACCCCATGGTGGCAATGAGCACAGAGCTTTGTACTTTACCATGGAGTGGTGTCTCTTGACTTTTTTTTGTTGTGGAGGAAGAAGAAGGCATCGAGGAGATGTGAGTCTGAGGTTGTGTCTGGCCACGCTCACTTCTCACACTCTTCAGCGAGGAGTGGGAGCTTCCAGCTCTGGGCCAGCATTTGTCCTGTGACCCAAAGGTCAGATCTGCTCTGAAAACTCAGGGAAACACAGAGATGACTTGTCTCTCTGCCCTGGGAAACATCTATGTCCTGCTGCACATCCCCAGCTGTGTGACCTTAGGTGTGCTGTCCTGAAAAGTACGTTTTGGGGATAAACTTCAATTTTCACAAGCTGACATCCTCCTCTCTGTTCCAGTGTTGACAACAGCGAGTACATGAGGAATGGAGACTTCTTACCCACTCGCCTGCAAGCCCAACAAGATGCTGTCAACATTGTGTGCCACTCGAAAACCCGCAGTAACCCTGAGAACAACGTGGGGCTCATCACCTTAGCCAAGTATGCCCCGAGGGAGAACTGGCCTCAGGGTGATGCTGAGGAGCAGCTGGGGAGACCCATGAGAGAGTGTGGGGGCAAGGGACAGGGGGAGTGTTGCAAAATGGGGCAGCAATAGCACAGTCTAAAACCAAGCCAGTTCTTCCGGGAGGACTGATACGAGAAAACCTGGTTCCTTGCTGGCCTCTAGCTTGTTGGGCTCACTCCTGCAACACCAGGATATGTTATGGAGGCTTTTCTCTTTCAGGAGCTCTCTGCTAGGTCCATCCTTTTGTGGCCTTGTGTCTGAAAGGGTGGCAAGTAAGGGCTGAGCTGTCATGCAGCTCATCAGAGTAGTTCGTCCATTTTCCTGAAGTCTGCAGGATTTCAGTGCCTCTGTGAGAGGCAGAGTTGATTAAAATTGGCTAGTGGGCTCAGGGTTGCTGGGGCAGGGGACAGACACATGCATACGCCTTTACGCAGACACATTACTTTGGTGTTTGGTTTTTTTTTAGGAAACCAAGCTAAAAGTCTTGCTCCCTGTGTGCACTGACCCACTAGAGCCCAGTGCTGGCAGACTCTTGGAGCAGACACCAGCTGCAGGCTTAGTGCAGGGAGGGCTTTTCTTACCCCTGTAGCAAATAAATGGTTTTGCAAAGAAATTCTCAAAGAAGAGGTTGTTAACATAAGTGTATTTGTGTTGCAGTAACTGTGAAGTGTTGACCACGCTCACTCCAGACACGGGCCGGATCCTTTCAAAGCTGCACACAGTGCAACCCAAAGGGAAAATTACCTTTTGCACAGGGATCAGAGTTGCTCATGTAAGTGGCCTTGTTGGTTCCTCACGAGCAAGTCTGCGCCGTTCTCTGTAATTCCTTTTGCCTTAGCCTGTCTCTTAAATTACGTGTCCTGTTGATGGCTCGGATACAGGAAATCTTGTTCTCTCCCTGCCTCTACAGCTGAGCAATGCTGAGCAAATAACTTCAGTTTTGCCTTCGTCTCCCTGTCTGCAAAATGCAGCTGAAACCTCCTTTATAAAACCCAATATAAAAGTTCAGGAGTTTAATAGTCTGATCCTAGTTTGCTTCAGAGGAACCTGGCAGCTGCTTTGCGGGAGTCCAGCTGAGCTGCACAACCCTTCCCACCCTGAGAAGAGCAGCCCCCAGCTGAAGAGTGTCCCCCAGGATATGGCCACCCTTTTGTCCTGTTTTCTTGCTCTGTCCCACACTGTCTCTTTGCCAACAAACTGCTCCCAGCTGAGTCATAACTGCCAGTGAAGGGGAGGGCCTTGACACATGCCTGCTTGTAGGCAGTTTGGTGAAACTT